AGCGCGCCTGCAAGGCCGCGCGCTGGACAACAACCGCGCTGTGATGCGCGCGTTCGTTTCCCTGACCTTCCGCGCGCCAATCACAAGGCCGTTCGCGCCCGGGAAGGGGGGCGCCCCGACGTGTTTAATTTGATGCCGCAGCCGTGGCTTTTCGCCACGAATCCGAGACCGATGTTCGACCCCAATATTCTCATCACTCGCAAAGATATACGCATGCGTTTGTGGCGTGCAGCATAATATCCCACGATGGCGCGCCGTCTGGTCCCGCGGCTTTTTTCCGCGCGCCAACTTGTGCAAAGCTGCCGCCAACTCGCCCGCGGTGAAATTGCCTGTGCCTCTGGGCAACGCGCCCCCCAGAAACGCGTCGCTGCGTGGCAGGAGGTGCGGGTGTCGACTTTGCCGCTCCATGGACTCGAAGTCGCCCGCCATGGCGCTTGCTCTGTGCGCCGTGCCCCATGCAATGCCATCTGGTTGATTCATGTCAGCGGGTTCGGTTGCTTTTGCCATGAACGGGTGCTTCGCGGCATCCCATCCGCCGCTGCCAACATAACCTTCCAGCCGTTCCCTGCGGTCTTATTGCCGGGCTGTCGGGTGAGCCAGCTGTTCGCGCCCTCGTCGTCGTGGTCTCCTGTCTGGCGGCGCGCAGTCTCTGTTTGCCAATGACGTCGAGTGCGTGGGGGCTTGCCCGTAGAGGTCTGGGATGGAGATCTGTCTCGGGCATGGCCGACGCGGCTGCGTCGAAAACCCGCTCGGCATCAGCGGCCGACTCCTCTGGCTGCGCTCTGCGTAGTTCGCGGCGCCTGCGCGTGTGAGCGTCAGAACTCGCGCCGCGCGCCCGTTTTCATCAGCGCTGTCCTGTGCAACGATTTCCTCTAACGCCGGTTGCCTGCAGCGACTCGAGGCGGCGCTGCAGTCGCCGCGCGAAGATGTCGACCATTCATGGGCCCCTCTCGGCGCGCCCAAGAGTCGCGGAGAGCTGGGGGGCGCCCGTGGCGAGCGGTCGCGGCCGAGTTTCGCGGGCGCGTCGCGCTCGACGGCCGTCGCAGGGCGGGCGAAGAGACCGCGGCGAGAGACTTCGTTTTCATCGGGGCGATCGAAGATCGCGTCGGCGATCGCGAGATCGCATGGAAAGCAATATTTGACAGGGAGGCGCTGGTTTGCAGCGACATCATTCGCATTGCCATCCGCCGACTCTTGCCGGCGCCGCCCTTCCGAGAACGCGCGATGCAGGACGCCCTGTAGCGCAGCGAATGTGCCATTGCAAGGCGCGGCAGAATGCGCGCCCGACGTCGCGACCGATTCCGCGGCGCGGCGCGTGGGTGGACGCGACTGCAAACGCCCCGCCGCGCACTTTCAGGCGAAATTCGGCTTCGGGTTAAAAGGGGTCTGGAATTGGGGAGGTTGCGCAAATCACAGCGCCCGGGTTGGAAATGCTCTGGAGTTGGGAAGGGGTGCAAAACTGCCAAACGCAGGGTTTGCGCTCGCGCGCGCGATGGGCGACGAGCGCGGGTCTGAAGACAGCCGGGCGCCCGTGCGAACTGACCGAGGATCTGCCCCCTCAGGCGAGCCCCCCCCCCTCAGGTTGGGCGAGCGGATCGCGGCTGGCGCTTCGTCCAGATCTGGCCCAGCCAGGGGCGCTCGCAACATGGTCGCCGCGTCGCTAAGCTGGCCCTGCGTGCCTGCGCCGGCCGCGTCGCCCTCGCCCACCGCGGCGCGCTCGCCGTCGGCGTCGGCCCCGGCGTCGGCCCCGGCGTCGCCCTCGTGGACCTCGGGATCGAGCGCCTCGCCCTCCCGCGCCGCCCGCGTCCTGGGCGTCGCCCGCGGCGCGAGCCCATCGCACTCGGGGGCCGCCTCTGTCCGCGCGGGGTCGGGCTGGTCGATCTCGGACATCCTCTCGCTGATGGCCCCCGCCGCGGCCGCGACGCGCTGGCCCGAACTCTGCGCCGCCTGCTCCAACGCCCGCGATGTTGTCTACCTCGCCGCTGACGGCCTCGACCGACCACTGCTCTCGCGCGGCGGTCGGAACTTTGCGCCGCGTGCTCTGGCGCGAACCCGGGGAAGGGCTGCTCCGGCGGACTGCCCCCGAAGCGCTCCCGAGCCCCCTTCAGCCATGCACCTCTGGCCCGCCTGGCGGCTGCCAATCAAAGCCCGCGGGGACAAGCGTCGCGTCGGCGGCGGGCGCGCCGATGTGGATACAGGATGCCGCCCTGCAGATGCTGGGCGAGGTCGATCTGCGCGCCATCCGCGATGCCGATCGGTTGGCCCCATCTCGGCGCAGCCTATGTCAGCGCTGCCCTGCTGGTCATGTCTTCGAACCTGTGAGCCAAGTCCTCGCGCTGGCCGCAGGTCCCCGCCGTCTCGCTGGCCTCGGCGAACGCCGTCTGAAAGTCGATAACTGCGGCCGTGCTGCTGCGTTTCCAAGCCGCTTCCCTGCGTGATGGGGGCCCATCCACTGGGGCCGCCGGCGTTGCTGCCGCCTCTGGGAGATGCTGGATCGGCTCTGATTTCGTCCCGAGCGCGCCGGGCTCGGAGTCCACGCCGGACTCACTGCCACTGACGCTGGCCTCGCCTAACTCTCCGCCCCGCCCGCCGTCTCCGCCGGAATCGACGCCCTGGGGGGCGATCTCGCCGGGCTGTGCCCTCCGCGAAGTCACCGCTGGACTCCGCGCCTTTGGCGCGGACCTCGCCCGCGGGCTGCTCGCTGGGGCCCGCGCGGGGGGGCGCGGCGCAGCGGCCGCCCCCTCCTGCGACGGCGCCCCTGCCAGAGGCTGCTAACCCTCCCGCGCTGGCGCCTGGCCTGCTGCCTCCGCCCCAGGAGAGCCGCGCGCCGCGCCGCCCCGGCGGCGGGCCAGCGCGCCACCGCCGCCAGCTGTGGCCCCCATCCCGGGCCTCCTCTGCGGACAGCCTGGCCGCCGTCGCCGCGGCAATCCGGAGCTCCGCCGACGGCGGCGTCTCCCAGCGCCCGGGCGGGCGGTCAGATACGCGGGCGAGTGCCAAGTGACGCCGGCGCTGGCGCAGCGTCGACGACAGAGGAATGTGCCCGAGAACGTGAGGGTTGAAAAGGGTCTTTGGAACTGAGGGGGGTCTTCAATGCAAAACGCTTGGGGTGGGGAGGGGGGGGGTCTGAAACTGGGGTCCAGATTTAAGATGGAGAATGAACTTGGAAAAGGACTTCGCATGCAAAAGCTAGGGGGTGTGGACCGCGTCCATGAGTCGAACAGATTTGGGATGCAAGACGCCGCGCGTGGAGAGGGATTCTGGAAGTGGGGGAATCCAAAAATCAAAACGCTGGGCTTGGGAAGGGGCTGGGCGTCGGGAAGGAACTGGCATGCAAAATGCTGGGTGTGGAAATGGTTCTGAAGTTGCGAAAGACTAGACATTCAGGGCGATGGGCCTGGGGAGAGTTTGGGAACTGCGAACAATTTGTACGACGTGCAAAACGCATGAGGTGGGGGTGTTGCTGGGTTTGGAAAGGGATGTGAAGTTCGGAGAGATTGCAAAACATTGGGTTTGGGAGTGTTTCTGGAAACTGTGAAGGATTTAGACTTGCAAAACGCCAGGCGGAAAGGGTTATGGCAGTGGGGGAGATTCGAACTGCAAGTCGCTGGGGCTGTGAAGGATTCTGGAATTGGGACCGATCTGAATGTGGAGTTTGGAAAGATCGCGAATCAACACAAGGGTTGGGGAGGGCTCTGGGCATGGGACGGGTTTAACATGCAAAACGGTGGGTTTGGGCAGGAATCTGGACTTGGAAAGGATTGTAAGTTAACAGCGCTACGGGCGTGGCGCATTTTGGGATGTGAGAAGGAGCTGTTTAAAAAGAGGCCCCAGGATTGGGAAGAATCCAAAAAGTTTTCAGAGAGGGGGCAGATTTCGAATGCAAGGCGCTGGGGCCCGGGAGAATACTGGAGCGGGGACGTAATTCGAAGGCAAGAAATCCGGAGTGGGAGCGTATTTCTTTTGACGCAGGGGATTTTTACTATGCACAACGCTGGGGTTGGGACGGGTCTTGGAGTTGGGGAGAGTTCTAAATCTGAAGCGCTGGGGTTGGGACGACTGTTCGAGTTGGGAGGATTATCAAAACAAAACGCTTGGCTGGCATGTGCTGGAATCGGGAAGGATCTGACATGCAAGACGCAGGGGTGTGGGAATCATGTTGGAGATGGGAAGGACCTGGGTTTGGAGCGGAACTTGGAGCTGAGGAAAGCCTTACATGCAAAGCGTTGAAATTTCAAGCAATCTTGGAATTCGACAGAGTCGTAAATGCAACAATCTTGGGTTGAGAAAGATTTTGGAATTGTCCGGCACGCGCGCTGCGCGCGCTCGCCAGCGCCGCAAGCCGAGGCGGCGTGGCCGCGCCCGGCGCGCGGGCTGGCCAACTCCCCAATCCGTCACAACCCGAGCGTTGTGTACGCAAAGTGTTCCCGACATCCCCAGTTTCCAGATCCAGAGGCCGTGCCAAAACCCTATGGCTGAACATGCGCAGTTACAAGATAAACAAGAAAAAACTGAAACAATTTTGCAACGTGTTGTTTGCTGCCGACTTTTTCGCCGTCGGGAGCGCCTGTCCCAGGGCGGCTGGGAAGTTTATGCCCTTACGGTGGCGCGTCAAGGTATCACTTTCCAGCCGCCCTGGGGCAACGCCCCTGGCGACGGAAAACATTGTTTAATACCGTTCTTCGCCCGCTAACAAGCGGCCTCCCTAGGGCTCCCCAATAAGCGACCTGTCGCGGTTACCCGCCACGTACCGCGTGGCGCGACCCCTGGCGCCCTGGCGGTGGGTGCGCGGCGGTCGGTCCGCAGTCGCCCGAGTGCCGCCATGGCCCGCCCGGTTTGAGCCAAGGCGCCACCGACGGAGGGCCCGAGCCGAGGGCTTGAGACGAGGCGGAGGAGGAGAAGAAAGGGGGATGGAGCAAGGAAGGAAGGGGCAAAGGAGGACGGAGTCGAAGGTGGCGGAGGAGGGAGGAGGCTGGGAGGTGAGAGGGGGCGGGCCGTGGGGCCTCCAGCTGCTGCTGCAGCGTCGCTGGAGCTGCGGCCGCGCCGGCGGAGGACGAGCCGCCCTTCGCGTCGTCGGGCGGGGAGGCCCGCCTCCAGCCGCACCCGGCGGCGAGGGCGCGCAGGAGAGCGACCGAGGGGTCGGAGCGCGACGACGTGGATCGTGGCCCGAGATTCCCTCGAGGAGCGGAGAGTGGATGGACAGGAGCTTGACATGAACTTCCGGAACTCCATTCGGATTCCTTGGATCGGGGCTGGACCCCCGTCCCTGGCGCGCGGAGCGCGCCGGAGCGGCGCTGGAGGCGCCGCTGGGGGGCTCCAACGCCGATCCGAGAAATCCGCGCGGGCCTGCGGCTGATCATGTTCCGGGTGTGATTTTCGACTTGGGGATCGACTATAGAATTGGTTTACCCCAAAATTGATTTCCACGTCGACTCTTCAACACAAATACGTCAGACATTTGTAGATTTGCGAAAGTTCTACGAAGTGCCCGTGGATTCGACAAGAAAGACCAATTCTGTGGCAAATCGATTATGTAGTCGATCCCCTACTCGAGATGTGTTTCCCGACTCCTGGGCTCGGGGCGTTTTTGAGCCTCCAGCGGGGTCCCTCGCCACGGTTGCATCCGCCGCGGGATTCGGTCGGCCTGGTGGCATCGTGAGCAGGGCAGTGCGTGAAGCTTTTGCAGGCGTTCGGCTTCCCCGGGCGCCGCCAGAGAGGGTAGCGCGCGAATGGGAGCGCAGGCGGGGCAGCGCGCGGACGGCCAAGGACCAAACGCCACACAGGATAGCGCGCGGTTCGGACATCGCGCTGAGAAAATAGCGCACGGATAGCCAGTGGCACAGAAGGCGTGGGAAATCGCAAGTTTAAGCCGAGATGACGCTGGCGTTGTTCTCTCATGCCGCTTGGATCGTTCGGCCTCGAGCCATGAGCGATCGCGGGTACCCAATGGCGAAGGTCTGTCGACCTTGATGGATAACGGCCGATTTTATGCCACAGGCGGCGTTCAACCTTGAACGCCCGTGCTGTCTTCGACGTCGTGTCGACGCGGCACGAACCTGCCGAATGATAACACGCGGATAGCCCATGGACAAACGCGCGGTCAACACAGCGCTATGGAGGGCGAACAAACGGATGCAACCATCGTACTAGCATGAGCGTCGCACAATAAGGAACGACGTGGCTTTTCTGACCAAGTCGATCCTCGGCCACCATCAGGTTCCCCGACCTACGTAAAGCCGGACCTGGGCCAGAACAGCATTCCTCAAGCACATGAGACCCTCCGTCGGCCAAAACACACAGAACATCCACGGGTATCCTCCCCGGGATGCACAAGAACATCTAACAGGCGCAAAGAACACTGGGTTAATTACCCTCCCCGAACCGCCCTCGACCTCATGCCTCGGTCCGAATGTGTGCCCAAAAAAACGGCCTGAAAACCACGGCCCCGCCTGGACCCAACGCGGTCCTCATCTCACCTCTTCGGCCGTCGCACAGGGGGTCGTGCGGACAGTGGCGGGCGGCGGCCAGCGCCTGGAGGCAGGGAAACGCAGGGGGCGACAGAGCCGGAATACGGAACGGGCATCAGCACGCGCTCGGAGGAGCCGGCGGGGGAGGAGCGGGGCGTTCGCCTGCCCGCATGCAGCTCGCGCCCACTCCTGCGCCTCCTTGGTTTCTTCCCTCTCTTCCCCCCTCGTCCTCCTCCTCTCACTCCTCCTCCGCCTCCTCCTCCCCCTCCCCCTCCTCCTCCTCCTCCTCCTCCTCCTCCTCCTCCTCCTCCTCCTCCTCCTCTCCTCCTCCTCCTCCTCATCCTCCTCCTCCTCCTCCTCCTCCTCCTCCTCCTCCTCCTCCTCTCCTCCTCCTCCTCCTCCCCCTCCCCCTCCCCCTCCCCCTCCCCTCCCCCTCCCCCTCCCCCTCCCCTCCCCCTCCCCCCCCCCTCCCCTCCCTCCCCTCCTCCTCCTCCTCCTCCTCCTCCTCCTCCTCCTCTCCTCCTCCTCCTCCTCCTCCTCCTCCTCCTCCCTCCTCCTCCTCCTCCTCCTCCTCCTCCTCCTCCTCCTCCTCCTCCCTCCTCCTCCTCCTCCTCCTCCTCCTCCCCTCCTCCTCCTCCTCCTCCTCCTCCTCTTCCTCCTAGTCTCCTCGTCCTCCTCGTCCTCCTCCTCCTCGTCCTCCTCCTCCTCCTCCTCCTCCTCCTCCTCCTCCCCTCCCACCTCCTCCCTCCTCCTCCCCCTCCTCCTCCGTCTCCGCGTCCTCCTCCTCCTTCTCCTCCTCCTCCTCCTCCTGTTCCTCCTCCTCCAGTCTTTTGCCTGGATTTTCATAATCCCTGCGCTACGTTCCGATAGTATCTCATGGTCAGTGGGCGCCGCCGATGACATGGGGAAAAAAGGATAGTTAATGCCGTCAAGCGTACGCTAAGGTAACACTGAAGAGAGGAGGCCGGCCCTCCGGCCGACGCGCGCGCGCGCCGCAGGCTCGCTCCTTTTCCACTCCCCAAAGCCAACGTAGCACTGCTGCGGAAGCAGAAGTAGTCAGTCAGTACGACAGGCAGTGCGCGCAAGGAGGGAGAGAGAAAGAGAGAGAGAGAGAGAGAGAGAGGGAGAGAGAGAATGAGAGAGAGAGAGATAGAGCAGGCAGGGCGAAAGGTTGGTGGCGCGGGAGGGGTGCATTGACTCCCCCCGCGGCGGGGTCCGTAGAGTCGCCCCGACCACCCAACCCACCTGGCCTGTACATATGCACAGCCACTGGAGCGAACCCCAAAAGCATTTTACCGCTCAGCGGTGGTTGACAGGGGGCGGAAGGCCGAAGAAACCCGACGTTCCCCGCCTGAGCTAATATTTCCAGCTCAGGCCACAATGGCTAATATTTCCAGCTCAGGCCACAATGCCCGTGCACACCTGGTGCACCCGCTCCATGATGTAGTGTGGACCAGCATCGATTATGTCGTACTGGTTCCATTGCGCTGCATCACTTTCGCCAACGACCTCTCCATTCACGAGAATCGCCCCAGGGATCGCCGTTGCTCCAGCGCCACTGGTTCTGATCCCTGGAGTAGTTGTCCTGTCTGTCTTCTTTTCTGCTTGAACTTCAGCCGCTTGGCTCACTTCTGCCCTGGCCCATCTCCTGCGGCCTCGCCTTCGACGCGGGCGGCGGTGGGGGCTCTGGCAAGGTGCTTGGCATCCCAGAGTCACGCTTGAACTAGTCGTTGTACTCGTTCAAACTAAACCACTGCCACGTTTTGCTAAGGCCAGTGACTCGCTGATGCCGGGATGCATGTACAGAGTATCCATGAACTTCCCCATTCTCAGTCTTGTCTTCGCAGTCGACGGTCGCGTCGTAGATGCCGTCCATGGCCGGCCCGGCGCCGCCGCCATCGCTCGCGCGGCCGCCGCCCGGCCCTACAACCAGTCTTTCAGGGATAAGCTCATCAGTCCAAGATTCATCAGCCCGCGATTGGATTCTGTCATAGTCGATCCAGTCAGCATCAGTGCCCGACGCGGCTGGGCCGGCGGGCGCAGGTGCATAGGGGGCGGCCCGATGAACCTGCCTTCCGCCCCGGCTCCTTGGTCTCGACGCTGGGCGAATGCGTCGCTGAATTCGCTGTTCCGGGGCGGCGGTGCCGCTCGGGAAATTGTCTGTAACGATTGTGGTTGCAGCATCTGCTGGGGACTCGGCGGGTGTCTCTGTTGGAGCGTTGGCTGGGCCGCTCTCCTCTTTTTTCTTCTTGAGGCAACTGGTAATTCCAATGGCGTTGTCAGCATTGGAGACTCCAAAGAGGCTGGTGGCAAGACAGATCTTGACGCTAAATTGAGATTCCGTAGATGTATGTATAAAAACTACAGCCTCTTGGATGCCTGGGCAATTTCGCCTTGCGGTCGCTGACGCTTCATGTCCTAACCCTTTGGTCCAATCACGAAGTAGGTCAAATGACTCGACCGCAGACCTGGTCCGATCATCCAGAGCAGAAGCATCTTGCATGATTTGACTGGGCCGCGGACGACGCTGCACCTCATATCCCAGAAACGAAACATTAATTCCCGTGGACATGAACAATAACATTACTTCCCGCGCAACTGAAAGAATCCGCCCCCATCTTCCATGAGTGGGGATTCGATCAAATGGTTGATCCATATTCTGCCCACAAGCTCGGGTAATCCTGGCGGAACTCCATGAACAATGTCATTGTCCAACGGCATCGTAGTTGGAACTGTCGATAAACATTCAAGAACAAATTGTGTTGCAACTTTGATAACTTCCGGCCTCTCGCATGTGTCATTGTTGTACCTAGAGCTAGACATGCAGCCAGGCATAGAAATCCAACCAAGCCGAAAAAGCTAGCGTTCTGGTCGGAACAATCAGCGGATGACGCTGCGCTATATGTTGATTGCTTATGCTGCCCGACGTCGCAGCATTCACTTCACGTGCTGATATTACTTCATCATTACGGCTTGGCCGATGATGAAATCCAACGAGTCGGACATCTATCTCTCCGGCTTGGTTCGACGCGGACGCTCGGTTGGCTGCATTCAAGTTCCCCGTCAACAGTCGAACTGATGGAATGATTACTCCCTTTTCTTCCATCTCGTGTCCAAATTGGCCCCAGCCCGTCTCTGGGCGAAATTGTTCGGCACTAACGTGTTCCCAATCGAAAACGGCAAGTGCAGAGCAAGTCGTAGGGTGATTGTCCCCATGCTTGTGCTTTAGCCAGTCAATGAATCGGAGCTTGAATGTTCCAGGTACTGGAAGTATGGCTCATGACGCGCCAACGGCTGTGCCGAGGCGCTGTCGGGTCTCCAAGAAGGGGCGGCCCCTGGCTGCGAGTGCCACAGCCGCCCGGGAACGCACGTGTTCCTGATGTTCAGCTTTGTTCAAATTTTCCACCGCATCAGCAGAACTCCTGTTCATTGCTTTCCGCATGTTAGACATGGTATTAGATCGGTTCTCCCCTCTTGGGGGGGCATCAAGACGCGGGGCCAGTCCCGGGCTCGCCCACGCAGCAACCGTGACAGGGGTGAGGCATTGCACGCAATATTCGAAACCAGCCCTGACAGCATGGTACCGATTGCAAATGTACCTCCCGTCGTCTGTCCACATTCTTC